AAATCACTTACCGCCACTTGTAAGTCGATATTTTGAGCAAAGAGTTGGGTATCTTGGCATCTGTTTAAATGCACAGAATGAATTTTTTCTGGTTCTGCGCATGACCGCTTGGGCAGTATAGCAACAGGGTAGAAATTTTTTGTGGTAGAAATTTCACATAATAGGCGTACCACCTTGGTGTCAGTGCGAGATGTTGCGTATCCCTCTCAATGGTGACTCGGTCATTTTTATTTCTAATTTCCTTAATAAACTTGTGGATCATTGAAAAAAAATATACATATGACATACTGTATTCTGTGTGCTATACACCCAATATGCCTTTGGGTCCTCAAAATGTATCTCGTGTACTCCTGATGAGGCTTCACATACCCCTTGGGGTCCAAGGATGCCTGGTTCAGAACCCCTGCTGTAGAGCATCCCTATCAGGGTCTGCCTTGTCCATGGGCTATCTGCCTGTATATAAAACTGTGATGGAAAAAGGGAGGTACACATGACAGGGTGCTTTCTGAATGGCATTATAAATGAGGCACAAACAATACTCTGTCAGAAGTGTAAATTACTACATGAGCAGTTACTCACCCAGGTAAACCTTAATATAACAATACTTTGAAACAATACTGAGTCAACAGGTACACCAGAAACAGTTTACTGGACTCAAACCCTTTCACCCCCTCTCCTTTCTTTTGTCAAGCATTGGCTGTGCAAGGCTTCACCACAGTCATTTTGATATAAACGCCTTCTATTTTTAAGACTAATACACTACTGTAGTAGTTCATGGCTGATCTGACATTTTATTTATTCAGTGTGCAAGTGTTAGCATTCTATTTTTGTATGTCATTTGGATAATTTATGGTTTTCTAGTTATGGGATTGATATTTTCCAAATGTTTGTGCTTAAGCTATTTTATCCTCTTTGCCATTGATCGGCTTGTTAGCCACTTGGGCAGTCTGTCATGTCTCTGTTACACACTGTTGGCAAATACTATGCATGCACTGGCTCCTGAATGTATCTGAACCTGCTCCAGTGTTGGTCAAGTCTGGTCTTGAAAGAGCTCACACTGGGTGCCGTCAGAACACTCTGGCAGGTTGTTCCAAGAGTTCACAATTTTCACTCAAAAAAGTTTGCACCTCACAGTTTTCTGGACTTGTAGCTTCTTCAACCTTGAGCTGTGACCCCTTGCTCATTGGTTCAGTGTTTCAGTTTTATTGAAACCTTTAGCGGACAATGGGTTCCATCGTCCACTCGGAAAGTAGATTCTTTGTTATTGGCTTTTCACCATTTGTGAATATGTATACTTTACAGTACTATAATGTACTTAGTTTGAGTGGTAAATAAGTCTTACACAGAAGGCTGGTGATTTTCACCTCTTGAAATTATTATGTGCTCACTTTGCTTTGACTAATTGAACTAACATAATTACCATGCCTCTGCTATCACTTGCACAGTGGAATCGTTCTCCTATTTTTTAAATCCTGATTCACCTGAGTGAATACTGTAGTTGTTTATGCAGCAATTAGTTTTGTTCTGACAAAATAGTGCCCGTGTTTCAGAATGCAGAGAGACTCCTGCATAAGAAAGGTTTTGCTTTCGGATGATCTGGTTGGAGAACTTTTTTTTTTTTCCATCAGCTATAAAATGAGATTTCATTCCCAAATTATTAATTTTTCTTCATGAGCTGCCAAAATATGTCATGATCATTTATAGATATCTGTGAACAAATTCATTGATGTATGCCAGTCATTAGTATATGCTACAAATATTGTATGCTGTGCTAGTCCATATCAATACTAATAGTAGAGACAACTTTTCTTTGTCAACCATGTAACTTAAAATTTGTGAGGTAAATTCTGCAATGACTATTAATTTAAGGTACAGTATCGTGTAAGAAATAGGATTTATATGATCTCAAGCATACTTTATTGTTAACCTTGGAAAGTCTGAGACTGTTGTAGTCTAGAGAAATACATGCTGGTTCTGTAAATAGTTTTGATTTTTCTTAAATTGTTGTGATTCATTACCTTCGATTACATTATTAATATAGATAACAAAACAAAAAAGTCCCTTCATGCTGGCCACTTTTTGTTGTCTGCTGTTATTGGTAACCGATTCTTTATTATGTTGTCTATAGCAACCTCTTCTGTATAGCATATATTACTTATAATAACTTCCTTATACTAAAGTGTGTTCTCAAAGTGACATCTGTATAATGTTGGCTGATTGTAATGACCGATTTATATTGAATTTCTGTGACTGCTTCACTTCTCCTCACGCCTTACGTCTTTTAATTCACGATACATTTTGATCACCACACCAAGAAGGACGAGTTGATTATGTTACCAAATGGGCATTTATCTTTCACCTGTTCACACCTCCCAGGCTCTCAGCTTCCTTTCTCAGCAGCATTCAGTTTTTGTGATGTAGGGATCTTGTCCTTCCACTTCGCGTGCTACAGCATAGTTTCTACCCCTCAACCACAAGCGTATTACGAGACTCTTGGCCATTAGCAGATTCGTGATCAATTACTGGAGGCAGTAGTAGTAATTGTAAAAAAATATCTTGTACCTCATACTGCCCACAGTGTTGTTTACCCCCATATTACCAACCTCACTGCACAACAGCCACCTCCGTCATATTTTTTTCCTGCTTGGTTTAAATCTTACCTGACAGCAGTTTTCTATGACTATAATTCCAAATTAATTTTAGGTTTGTTTTAATGATTTATTTTTTATTTTTAAGTTTGGAGAAGAAGCTTAACTGTACTCAACACAAGAAACTTGAAAATCCCGGCACATACTGTTAGTAAACAGAACAATAATTTCATATCTTTATTACAAATAAACCTTATAATTCTTTTATATTCAACTGTTTCTTAAGATATATCACCTTGTGCACACTACAAGAATTATAAATACTGATACGCGATTAAAAAAAAAAAAAAACACCTAAACCATACAAAAATTAATGGCTCTGTACGATCTTGCTAACATGAATGAATGAGATTTGCATTTAGGGACACAGTGGGCTAAGAGTTTTTCACCAGATTTTAAAAATATATCTCAAGTGAAAAGTAAAATCTAAGCCCAAAATAATAAATATATTAAAGTTCATCTTAAAGACCTTTTACAAGAGCAGGAATGATTCTTCAGACATGTTTTGCACAGATCACAAGTGAAGCACTGGACAACCAAATTACCATCCTTACCAAAACCACAGAACACGGTTATCAAACAAACTTATCTATTCACTCTATCACAATACTGAACTATAGTGCTTCCCAGGTACCCAATACAGTGACCCCTCGTTTAACGAACACCTCGGTTAACGTAATTTCGATTAACGACTGCCTTCCATAAGGATCTTCAATTTGGTTAACGAAAAAAATTTCGCTTAACGAAGTTCTTACGAACCGACCTCAACATGTTTTTGCTTGCACTGACCGGGCAACCAGCTTTAGTATCAGTCCGCCAATACATTAATCGGTTCTAGGGCTTAAATTCCTTACTATTTTAGTAAATATCAAGAAGTTTATACCATTCAATAATTTTAAAAGTTTAATATTCAATTTTTTAGTCATTTTAACAATTATTGAACAAAATTGAAGGTAAAGGGACTAGTTTAATGCGCGGCATCCAGCCTCTTAACACAGCAAACAGGCGTCAGTCTCTCTCTGTTTTCACTGGAGGTAACATCTTGCTTGAGACTCTCTTCAACTAAACGCTTTTTTTCTGTTTCCAAGCAAATTATTGGTCATTTTGAAAATTATTTTACATATTGACAATATATAGTGCAGTGTAGTGTTATTTTAAAGAAAATATTCTTTATTTACAGCTAGTTTAACTTTGAAAAATACGTGTTGCCATTGTTTGAATCCAAGGATAGTGCTCCTGGTCATGACCCTGACCTTGCCAGAAATTTGGAGTATCAATTTGACTTTGTGAAAGTGTTGTTTTTGCCTCCAAACACTACATCACTCATACAGCCAATGGACCAGAATGTAATCAGCAACTTCAAGAAGTTGTACATGAAGAAAATGTTTAGGAAGTGTCATCAGGCAACTTCTGCTGATCCTGAACTAACACTGAAACAGTTCTGGAAGACACAATTCAACGTCCTGGAAGCTGTAAAATTGATTGTGTCATCATGGCAAGAAGTCTCCAATAGAACCCTCAATTCTTCATGGAAAGCACTGTGGCCATCAGTAGTCCATGATTTTGAGGGATTTGAGAAAGAAACAGAGTTGGACCACGAGATTGTGTCCATTGGTCAGTCATTGGGCCTTGAAGTGGAGGAGAAGGATGTGGAAGAGCTTGTGATGTCTCATGAGGAGGAACTTACTCCTGATGACTTGAAGCAACTGGATGAGATGTTACGGGTAGAGGCTGACAGTGGTGAGGAGGAACTTGAAAGTGATGACCATATGTCAGCTAAACATGAAAGATGTGATTTACTACTGGGAGAAGTTCAGGGAACTGGCTTCAAAGCACCCAAAGTGGAAAAAACTGAACTAACTTTGTGTCATGTTGAGGACTCAGTGGTCTCCTTCTTTAAACATAAGTTAATGGTGAGGAGGACAGGTGCCCCACAGACCACAATTGACACTTTCTTCAGTAAAAGGCAGAGGGAACAAGATGCTAGCCCTCAGCCTTCCACTTCAAGGAGAGAGGATGTTCATGGTGGAGAATCTGTCAGTCCAGAGGTTCCTGACATTTTCTTGGAAGGTGACTCACCTTCAGAAGCAGTCATACTTCTCTCCACCTCCACTTCCTTCTCTTCTCCCCTGCACCTCCACTTCAAATGCACATCATCACCATCATCCAGGAGCCTTCTACATACACACCTCAAAGTAAGTAAATTTTTCCGCCATTTTTGTTGATGAATTTTCGGTGAGCTGGAACCAATTACCCAAAAACCCATTGAAACAATGGTTTCGGTTAACGGATTGAGTTCGTTAATGGAGAGGCCACTGTATTGTATAAATGAATAATAAAAACATGCAGTACTTAACACTGATGCTGTTTATGGACAAATTCAGGTGGAACAATGGACAAATATACATAAGTTCCATTACTGTACTTTCACTGGCAGGGAACACTACAATATTTTAACTATAAAAGATGTCCAGTTCAATAATGGCAATGAAAAGATAGAAAACAATAAAATATACAATTAAAACCAGGTATTGTACCAGCAAAGTGAGGCACTTGACAGCAACAAGAAAGAAACATGCCTAATGAATGTGAAACTTACAATACCGGTACATTGGCAAATATATATTTACTGAATCATTTTCACTTCATACAAGAATACTAGTAGTTTTCAAAAAGTTACAAAATGAAAGTCAAGGATGCATAAAAATTCATATACTGTACAGTTAGATAAACTGTATCATATAACAGTACGTTGCTGCATCACAAACTTTAAACTCTCATTATAAACTAACAATGCTTTGTGTGTACGTAATTTGATCTAGTTTTAGTTCACTGAGCTACAAACTTGAGGGAATTCAATACATGTGTTTTTGAATGATAATAGACCTAACACATTGACCCTACTTTACATCACATCACTTTTCGTCCTAACAAAATTTCGCACTTCATAATTGATTCAGTATTTACTGTACAACATAAGCCATACATAATTATGAAAAAACACAAGATTAATTTAAGAGAATCATCCAATATTACTCTAATCATTGCAACTAAATTAACTCGTAACCATAAATATTCTAATTTTCATCATTCAACTTAAACAGAAAATCAAAAGTAGTGACCAAGTTAACAAACAAATGAACCAATGTAGAAATGTAGTTGCTTTTGTGATATACGAATAAACAGTGTACAGATTAGTACTTTGTTCTTGAAGTGTAATGTGATTATGATCCTTTTAGCAACATGTATATACTGTACACCACTGTGTAGGTTACATGGCAGAAAGACTTATTGTTATTTTATAATTTGAGAATATGGTTGGTTCCTCTTGCATATATAGTAACATTATTCAAGTTCTAAAACCTTTAAAAACTGATCAATTAACAACTGTACCTGTATATATTATATCCCATTATTAATACAAATTCAAACAACAGTATTTTCCAAAGTATCATAATACTGTATACAGCATCTTAAGAGAATAATACAATATTGTAACACTAATCAAAGGAAGTTTTTTTTTCTTTCAGTGAAAAACTATATTTAGTATTTTTAACAGTTATTGATTATAGAAAATATGTTATTTTCAATTTCTTTGCACGAGTTACTCTATGATAAATTTGGTAAAATAACTTAGTTCTACTGTAAGCATATTATGTTAAGTACTGTATAGAAGGATCCTACACAGGCTGCTGGCCACCTCACCTCAACATGACCTCTGGCTGGGTGACCAGAAGGTAAAATATGTAGCTCGTGACAGAGAGGCTTAAGTAATACAGTATACTTAAAATTAATTATATTTTCTTTAAGAAAAAATATTCATAGCACAGTATTGTACAGTGTGCTTCTAACTGCGTATACAGCACAGTGCTTATATAAAACTACATAATCATCCATAAATTGTTTGTCCAGCAGTTAAAAATAGGTTAAATGCAGCAAAAGAATAAGTATTCTTAAAATAGAGTGCTGTGTAAAGATTCCTGAATTTAAAATAAAATATTTAAATTTTTCAGTGTAAACTTAGGCAGTTGTAGCAGAACATTTCCTAGTGTTCCTGGTGACATCTGTAAGCAATTTTATATCTCGGTATTTTCACATTCCATAAACAAAGATTTTAATAGGATAAACATTTAATAGCATTACACAATTATCAATACCATGCAAATAATCCTGAACTAAAAGGAAATAATGCTACACTGGAAAAATGGTCATTGTTCCTCAGCGATTACACAATAATCAAGGTATAGATAGTCCCAAGCAAAACCTTTACCAAATATTTAATGAAATTACCAGCAACACCTTGAAATGTAGGATACAGTAAAGATTCAGTATACTGTACATATGTAAGTGAAACCTCGTTAATCCAGATAAATGATCCAGAGGTCGGCAATCCTGATCACGAGGTGAGCAAGGTGTTCATTCCTGATTTTCCATTCTGGTTCAAGTGTTAGTGGTGTGTCAAATCTCAGTGCTATTACTTCACCTTCTCCTGAACCAGCTGAACAGATTTTACAATCCGATGAAGAACTATAAGTGTTTAGTGCAGATCTTTCAGATATTAACTCAAAATTAGTGTAATGTACTGTACTATAAATGATTTAGTAGTGTATGTACAGTATAAGTGTTCAAACAACTGCCCCTTTACTTCCTACCTTCACTGCTTCAGGAGCCCTTTGGAATTAAGGATAATCACATATTTAAATAAGTAATCACCTGTATTTGTGCTTCACATGTTATTATTGTGTTTTCTTCATTACATCTGTTAATTTATCATTTATTTCTATACGGTAGGCCTTTGTGCTTTGAAAGTTACGATATTTTACTAATCCGGATCACCTCTCTCCATAATTACAATAAATTAACAAGGTTTCACTATATACGGTATATATATTGAAAAAGAATTCTTACTGATCTGGTTGTAACATGCAAGGAGCAGTAATTACCACCTGCATGTACTGTACGAAGGAACTTGAACAACATCAATGTTTTATGGCCATTTTCCACGCTTGGATAGATTAGCCAAAACATTAACTGAAAAAAATATACTCACAGAAAGCAATTTGATAGGGAGAAATAAAAAAAATAGAAAGTGAAAACACAAAACCACAAGAGGAAGCAGCACTCATAACTGCAGACCACCATGACAGCAGCACTGTAACTAGTGTATGGTCCCAGACAAGAACCACCCCCAAGTGAGAGCATTTCTGCCTCCCATGGTGACACTTCTAATGGTAACCACAACCAACTAATCTATAAGTATACAGTACAGTAATTATAGTACTGTCCTGCACTGGCACTTTATATAATTAGTTTCACTTAGACTTCATATCTCCTTTTATTCTCCAAGCTCCTAAAGTGTACCTCAGCCAGATAATGAGCAGATCAACACCCATCTCTATCCAACTCAGCACTGGTGTCATCTTGGTCCCTGGAGGAAAAGAAAGTCATTACAGTACTGTTGTCATTGAAGCTGTTAAATCATTATCATAGTTTTACAGTCATTTTCCGCACTAGTGAGGATACTGTATGAATTACGTAACTACATTTTGGGGCATAAGGGTAAAGATAGTTGTGGACACATGCATAAATACAGTTTGAGCAAAACAAAAAGTTTCAGATTGAACTTTGTGCTTTCAAAGTACTTTTCTGGGCAAATGAAATGTACAGTTCTATGTGTTGTTCTTAGCAAGAAGGAAAGTTAATACAGCCAGACGTATCACACCCTGATTAATTTTATGGGAGACTGTTCACCGTAATGAAAAAAAAAGGATCTCTAAGAACATTATGTGGAGATTAACAATGTTTTACATCACTGAAGGAAAGACTGCAAACAGGATACACATACAAAAGTTAAGAAAAATCTTAAAAGGCTGATGGTCTGATCATGTTAGACTGGATGGGCAATAAGGTGCTCAGCTTTTAAGTGGCTGAAAAATAAACTATTAACAAGGATAGTGTCATCGGGCAGCCAAGCATTACATCATCTGGTTACATCTCACACATCACTTGTGGAGCCAATATGTACTACAAATTAATGTGTACATAATAATTTACATACCATCAATTTCATTCCATTCAACAGCAACTTCATCAATGGGGATTCCAAGAGACTGAGCCAAATGCAGCATTTCCACATCAAATGCCCTAGAAGTTGAAGATCATATATGTTAGAAGCCATTGGTACCATACATGATAACCTTTGATAACTAAATTACATCCCTGGTGTGAGAGGTACAAGTGTTAGGTTAGAGATATGGAATGCAAAGAATCAGTCACTCTTGCTGTATCTGGGACAAGACTAATCATGTCTCGAGAGAAGGATGTTTTATTATGGAATGTAGTGCTGGATGACAGTTATGCATTAGTAGCTATGAAAACATCACAATATTGATCAGAACCAGAATAAAATAATATTCCAATACAGATTTAAAGTAAAGAGTAAGCCCTCAATTTATATTGGAAAACATTCTTAAAGATGGATGATTGATTCTGACATTCTAGTTCCTCCCACAATCCTTAGCCAGGTAGCTTCTGTTAGTGTGTAAAACATTTTTGAGTGTTAGTTATTACTTAAAATACTCAGTACAATTCATTATGTATAAATTAAAACAGGTATTCAAGCTTCAGGTATACAGTGTATGTCTCTCTGAGATGACAGTGGATGGTCCAGAACAGTGGAAATTCAAGCAGCTTTAATAAAACTTTAGTCACACTGATACTGTACACCTACAGTGGTCTTAAGGTGTTCCACCCTTGATAGTGTATCTCCCTTTATTTAACAGAGTTTCTTCTCAGTGAGGCACCTTATTAAACAATACAATACAGTACTGTTGTCTTTAACAATCTGCACCAAAAGAAACAAAAGCAAGTGCTTATTTACTCCAACATTAATTATTAATTTATTTAAAATCACAAGACTGTCTATCACAAGTGACCTGTTTTAAGAGAATTCTCTGATAAGCCAAGTCTTTAACAGACAGTTTCCATTACATGGGAGAACCTTTTACTTAAGAAGTGAGAGGTCCATGGTATGGTTGGTAGTGACTTTGTTGCTACTGACTGACGAAAGTGGAACTAGATCGCTCCATTACGGGGAAAAAGTAAGTTGCTGTAATTATGAGACAAAAGGGAATATTCAGTCATAATTTGGTTAGGAGGAAGCAAGTCCTCCACATTATTCTGTAAAGTAATATTGTATGTAACTAAAATCTTTTATCAGCAATTAGTTTCAAGTACTCTTAAAAACCAACGATTATAAGAATGAGACATCATCTCTCTACATGCAAACTGTTAAAAAGGATGCGAGAAGTCCTTCGTGTTAAGAGCTTGAATCCACACTGTGTGTCTCGAATACCACGCACAGCAAACAGCCACACCAAGGTAGGAAACCATACATCAACAAGGACGAAAGGTTGAACGTGTGGCAACTGACTCTTCCTCAAGATGGGCACGGGATCCACATGATATTGCAAGGGCTTCACTCAGATCACTCTCCCCTAAGTTGAGAAAATTATTGTTTCAGTCTGAGATGTATACATAGGGCTCCTGTGCAGTGATATAAAGATAAAGTACAGTATGTGAAGGAGTATTTGATAGTTACAAAAGTTATGTTCAGTAGTTCTGTCCAACCTTCACTACCTGTATATTTATGTTGTTAGACCTGTGCAGAAAGTTAAGGTTCCCTCCACCAGACTCACACAGAACATGACAGCAACACAACAATGAAATTAATAAAGTGTTGTATACAGTTTAAACCCCATTGTGTATGTGATGCTTATGTGAGTCATAAACTGGTTTTATCCAATTTGATCATGAACTCTGAAATGCACCATAGAAATTAAAATATTCACTATAAATTATCATCCTAAGAGCGTCATCTTTTACTGCATCATAAGGAGAGGCCTACACTCCCAACACAAGTTACCAATTAGTTTTTAGTGAGTTAGTTCTCTCAGCAGGCAAGCTGTCCACGGTCGTCGTCCCTTTAATCAAACCTCCCATAACTCTCGATGCCTCCCTTCACTCTCGGGTTTCAGTGTCTTGATAATTAAATAGTGATTTGACTGTTTTGAAATTGATTATAATGTTTGTTTTTTTCTCTGAAATATTATTTGAATATTCAAACTATGATAGTGATCATGTCTCACCGCCGGTATTCATATTCACATATTGTTTTTTGTGAACCTATCAAGTGACCGGTCAGATTTCAGCATTGTAATCACAAGATAGTGCTTTGTGTGTTGTGAAAGTTATTATAGTATAGTGCAAAACCTTCAGGAATGCTCCTCCTCTATTCTCTAGTTCCCCATAACTGTAGCCTCCAAAGAATACATTCTGGTAAATGTTACTGTATTTTCAGATCCTACATACAATTATATTATCAATACTGTATAGTGCTGTAAAACAACACAAGAAGTGATGAATTTCAAAGCAATTTCAGCTAAACTCTCTTAAAACAGATACATGAATAAATAAGTTCAGTAGTTAAATACTCTGTATAAGAACAAATACTCCAAACCCAACACATTACAAATTACTCATGAAAATGGTACAGTATTTATGGACTCAAGATATAATGTTCATAGACAAACTTAACGAGAACTTAAAACAAAAACCTACCAGTGCAAAGATCTTTTAAACTGGCCTCCACCTTACTATACTCTGAGAATGTAGTAGCACCATCGGCATCAGCAAAGAGTAGTAGTTGTCCACGAGAGCGGAGCATCCCGAAAGCTTGATCAGTTAACACAACCATTACTGTACAGTACTAGAAATGTTAACACTGTATAATTACTTCATGGGACACATTTACACCACCTCATATAGATTTTATATCGATCTATTCATTAATATCTTTTTCAGTTCTGAGAATTACATGAGTGAAAGTATAATTGTTGGCTTATCAAGGAAGGATCTGTTGGCATCATGTGTTTGTCTGAACATAAGTCCTACCATAACTTATATTCAGATTTCCTTGAGTCTTCATATAGAGGTACAGTACTGTATTTTGTCTTAATAATGTACCTTGGGTGTCATTTAATAGAACAGTCACCAAATTTGTTTGGCCTCTTATGTGACAAGTATATCATGTCACAATGAGCCATATTACACATTACAACATCATAGTAAACCTTCATTTTTGACACTTTGAGGTTACTGAATGTTGTCAACATCTATATACTGTAGTTTACTCAAATAAATGGAAATAGGGTGATCAACCCTGAAATGGCACTGTGTAGCTAAGGCTCACTGCTTCCATCCTCAGTGGTAACTGCTGTATCCATCAAGACTCATTTAGAAGCCTGGATATGACGGGAAACCATAAACCTATTTAGTATTACGGAGTTCCGATCACATGTCTGAGTCCAGAACCCAGGGTTTTCAACTAACAGACTTGCTGACTATAAATGAGTTTCCTTAGCCAGGCATGAGTTTGACAAATGCAACAAGATAACTTTCAATAAAATTAAATATCAAAATCTTACCATTCTGACAGCGCCACCCTTTTGTTCTTTGCCAGAGTGAGAATTCCTTTATCACAACCATACTTCTTGTTGTAGCCCATTCCAACTTCTGTTGTCTTGTCTTTACTGCCATCATCCACAATGATCACCTCATAGGTGAAGGAACTATCTTGTTCTGCCCTCTCCTCCAAGTACCCCATACACTCCTCCATCATCACTGGTACTATAAATGACAAGTTCAAAGAATCAATAACACAAAAGACTTGAGCCTAAGCTTACAGTATGTAACAATCTGCCAAAATCAGACTATCCTGTCCATGAGAAAGACAAAGTTTTGCTTTTAATTTGAATATCAGAGCAACTCGGGCTAACCAACTAAGAGTAGAGCTATCAAGGGGAAATAACATATAATTTTTAAATGCAGAGAATGAAATCCTCTTGAAACATAGTAACACCAACATACTGTACTCTGATCAAAGAGAATGAGGCCATTATACAGTACAGTCAGTTCAACTTACTATATCCTCCCGACTCCGACGGGGTTAGGGACCCAAATCCAGGTCAAAGTCGAAAATGCTTAAATAATACATAGAAAATCTAAAATGGGTGTCATTTTCTTCTCAGCACCACAAAACTCTCAATTTTAAGCTTGCCAGCCATTTTAAAGTGAATTACAAACGAAAATTTTGTCTGTTTACTGACGTTGGGACCAAAATACGTAATTTGACAAAATTTGGTAACGACTGAGGCAGGTCGTAACTGCGGGTGGTCGTAAATCGGGGAGGAGTTGTATTTGCCAATTATGAAATTAATCTGGTGTAGTTATACAAATACTAAATTAAATTCAAAATATCGTACAGTATATTAAAATAATAGTCTGTTCCCTGCAGATATATGTACAGTACAGTACTTACATCTCTCTTCCTCATTGTAAGCTGGTACAATAACTGACAGAGATTTTGTTGGTGCTTCAGTTATACAGGGAAACTCTTGCTGCTTCCCAGTTGAGGAGTCGATAAAGATTTTTTCAGACTTGAACTTCGACTGCTGGATACATCTCACTAGAGATATATATTGCAACACACAACTGAAAAAAAAGAGAGGAATTTATATAAGAGAATAGTGGGCCACCTATTACCACTAGAGTATAATTATAGTACAAGACAAAGAGGTTAGGTTTAAAACTGTTGCTTCTTATCTTAAAATAAATACCTGTACCATTGGCTATCATACACATATTATAAAACATTAAACTACTGTATTCTTCTCACACACACAGTACAGTATTTTCCATCTAACACCAATGCATCAGTTTATTTTTTTAGTTTATACATCATCATCCACAATGAGTTGACAGATCAACCCCAGCTAGTGTTAAGGAAGAAGCCCTGACACTACACTACACTACAGTATTACAATAGCTGCCTGGATTAAGAGCACATACAAGAAATCTTTACCTCTATATTTTACTCTCAAGCCACGAGCGGGATATATATTTTCCCTACTTCTCAATATTTCAACTTTCTGTTACTCTCTTTCACTTATCTACAAAACTTAAAAACATCACTATTATTAATATATATTAAAACTCTATTTCTGAACAATTTCTCATAATTTTTCCTTAACATTCATTATTACAACACAATAGCATTTCACTCATACCCATTTCTTATACTGTATACAGTAATTTCCACTACACTAGTATGTCTTGTGTTACATTTCCTTAAATAATTCAACTACACTGTAATGCAATCAGACAAAGCTTGGTTAAATAATAAAGAGTATAATTGTACTTACAATCAACAATGCCACAACAGCAAGGCCAATTAAGTAGGTAAGAAGAATTATGAAATCCATTGTGACACAGTAAACTATCTGGAAGGAAAATAAATTTCATAGTATCTTGGAAAGGTTACAGAAGGCTTTGCCATAAAATTAAATGGTAACAGAACTTAAACAAATCCGAACAACTCGTAAAATGTTAACTCATTGTGGCACCAACGTGATTGCGTATTGCATCATCCAGAATGAGAATTGCATCATCCAAAATGAGTATTGCATCATACAGAATGAGTATTGCATCATCCAAAATGAGTATTGCATCATCCATTACAAATTTATTAATACATCATGGAAAGAACTGTGCAGTGCAGTAGTCACACTGGAAACATGTCGTTGAGCACAAAACTGACCCCTTCTTGAATTGAGAAGTGATCACTGGTCAGGGTTACAAAGATGCTTAATTAAATCAGAACTTCTTGTTTGTGTGTGATGTAGCAATGACTAGGAGATGTTAGAATTTAATTTTTATAAATATTAAATGTTATGTTGTATCTAAGTGTAGTGACTTAGTTGACTTTGCTCTGTTTTTCTATCTGCAACTCTGAAGCTAATGCCTTTAATATTTAAGTATAACCCCTACATGTATGAAGTACAGTACAGTAAAACATACAAGATAAGCAAAGTAATGTTACTTATCTTAAACTTGGGCTTGTTGTTTCAGTTACAAAACAAATACAGTACAGTACAGGGAGATAGGAAGGAACTGGTTCACATATAGGTGGGGACGAGAGGAACAAGCTTAGCAACTTTGTAGTAAGTGCTGGAACGTTGGAAAGTTTTAAAAGGAGGCTAGATAGATTCATGGATGATAGAGAGTGGTAGTAACTCTATACAGGAGCTGCCATGCACAGGCCAACCAGCCTATTGCAGACTCCTTATTTTTCTTATGTTCTTATGTATTTGATAGGTTATGACTAAATATACACTGCCTAAATCCTAACAGTTTAAGTAAACAATAACAAGTTTTTATTATGTATAATTTCTTCAAAAGATGTGTATTGTATTTCAGTTACCAAAGCCACATCACACACAGTACTGTACCAATCTGGCAGACACTTTTGTAAACAAGTCACCCAGCCACATGTCCTCGATACCAATTTTTCGAATACAGGTATATTAATTTCTCTTATTTTTTCTTATTAAAATATCACTTCCGCCATTTATCAGCGTACTTGACATTGATGCAGTGAGTTTGTTGTTTGTTATGGTTGTTCAGTGTTAATATCAGGAGAGACTGGCACACCTGGGTACTTCACCTCCACAGGTATTTATGTTTAATATATTTCTGTTTAACTGATAATGTTCCTTGTGTGGTGTTGGGTTAGAACAAGACAAGGTAAAAATACTGAAATTTATTATTATTAACCAAACAATATCGTTAAACAAATAACAAAAGTACAGTATAATATCTGAGGTGTCCAGTAATGTTTAATGAAATAGTCTCAAAAGTTTAAAGGAAACTATACCTAACCTAACCTAACCTTCATTTCTAATTGGGTTTTTTCTACGCCAATAACTGAGGTAGAATCAGACTGGGAACAAGTCAACTGAACAGAAATGTGCTAAAAACATTATGGTAATGAGGTTTAGAATTAGTCGCTGATTATTACCTGGCTGTATTATACACTTAGCAGCCGGGGTAATACAGATACTGTACTAGTGTTGTGTTGGTCATGAACTCACGAGAAACAGTAATAGTACCCATATTACCCTCACCAGGTTACTAGTATGACTTTAAAAAATTAATCTCTAAAACAGTTTTCATTCCGTATAGACCAAGCTGATGTCGCCTGTAATTTAAGGTAGCATCAAGGTCTATATTGATATTCCCCAGTGTTCATACATCTCTATGGTAGTTAAGTCACACACAGGTGACCTTATCCTTCAAGTGTACCTGTTGAGTACTGTACACGTGTCTAATGCTCCTTCTTACCTTATAGTATAACTCGACGTGCCGTAAATTAAATGCCAACTTATATATAACACTACATCAACATTACTGTATAAATCCTGTGAGACCAGAGTGTTCCCCGTAGTGTGTGTGAGGGCGAGCACTAGAGTCCCTCCACTCAGCGGCCTCCAACACACTGTTTCTTCTCTCAGCTGTATGACAACTCAACCTCCCGTCACTGACTTCACCTTAGTCATCCACCTCGCTTATTTCATACATCATTTCTAAATTCATTTTTAAATAATAAATATGTTCAATGATTCATAATTATTATTTTGAATTTCAGAGTATTTCAATATATTTTAATTATGTAAACATATAATACACTGTGTACGTTCCCTGCGAGAGAAAAAGTTTAATAAAAAATTATAACAAAAATGTCATCTGAATAATCAAGCTTATCACTACAAAGATATATGTTGAAATTTATTTTGTTAGAGTACAGCTCTAACAGACAGCACTCTTCACTCTCATTTCCCCGCTTCACTAGGCTACATCATGAACCGTTTTTATGATCAGTCTGTCTTATTTCATAATCTGGGAAAATCTTTTAACTTTTCTTATTTTTTGTAAACCTTGTGACTCGGTAAATAAATTAATAGATACATCCTGGAGCCCGTACAGCAGTACTTACCAACAGTGTGTAAGAGACGTGTCCAACCGTCCATGGCGGCAACTTTCAATAAGGTAACTTACTCCGTGTAGTAAAGTTTTGTTTACACCTTCCACAGTATACTGCAGTAAGAAATACTCATGATATATATATATATATATATATATATATATATATATATATCACTGTACAGTAGGTGCGCATGATCCATGTATAATATACAGTACATTGTATATGCTGTGGTTATCAGCATATAGGTAATATATATACAGTACTTTAAAAAAAAACACAAATAGTAGAAAATCATATTTATTATACTGTACAGTGTTTGATGTTTTACAGGATTTTTCATAATGTCAAGTTCAAAAATTATAAGTAAAATATAACCATTTCTTCAAATTATACCATAAAATAAAATACCAGACAATTCTTCTTAGCGTGAACTCACATTTTCATATTTTTTTACAAAATGATTTATAAAAAATTGGCCAGTGCTGACCTCTGTGGAAGGAATAATTCACTGTCCTCTCATAGCTGGTCTAATCATTATGAACATCAGTGTACGAGTGAGACTGTATCAATCTACACAGTGCCGTACATGAGAAACACACGTCTACAAATTCTTTCCAATAAGTCTCTATAAAACTACAGTAATGTATAAGGATAAAGTGATATAATTCTTAATGTGAGGTGTGCAACTATTAATCACAGAATGTTGTAAGACACCTGATGTCTTATTAATAACCTACTCTCTTTAAGAGAAACAAAAATAATAACTAAACAACACAAATATGTAAGTGAGGATGCATCACCCTCTCATAAACATTTGTGCCATGTATAACAAAAGAACAAAAGCACCAAAAACAATGAGGACCCCAAGTACAGTACATCTCTGTCCCCTTGAGGTGCACTACTGTACTGTGCTGTACTGTACTGTACTAATAAACCAAGAACTATCTTTTCAGTATTAGGAACATAAAAATAACTATCTTAGCAACACTCTAAGAATGAAAGATAAGATAATATCTCATAAATCTCATACAGCTTCCTGGTCCCTTTGCTTAAGATGAATGGAGGAAGAACATATACAGAAGCCACCCAAGGCAGCACATTACTGCATGTTTAAGAGTTTGTACAAGTTGTCTGTAGCAAAAGATCTATACTGTACAGTATACAGTATCTGAACAGGGAAATATTTTTTACCATTGGGACAAGGTCTTTTCATGTCGGCTTTAAGTTACTGAAAGACCAACTGATAAAAGTAATAAGAGATGGGCAAAACTAGTTGAGCTGAAAAGACAATTGTATCTTGTACCTCTTGACTAGAAACTTAGTACTGTACTCAAAGTGGTTTTTAAATTGAAAAATTAACAAAACACATTTTACAATCTTATTAATTAAGATTCTATTACATTGTACATAATGGCTTAATTTAGTGAATTAAATTTTAATGTATAAATGGGTGATGGTCTAATGACTCGACTAGTACACAAAAATAATATTAGAGAAATAAAATGTATAACAGGGCATAGAGTATATATAGCTTTACAGTTTACAGGATAAATTGAAATTTGTCATGTTTAATTGGTGGTAAAAGCCTTTCAAATTACAGTAGTATTATAGCTCAGATAAGGACCATTAAAACTGGCTTTAGGACAAGAAAACATTGAATTATTGGACCCGAAAGCAAATGAGTGTCCTGTACTAGAACTACAGTTGAAACCAAGACACCCTTTCTTGGGAAAACCTGAGATGTGAACACTGCTATGGATCCTCTGTTGGCAAGGTTGAGCTACAGGAGGCAGCAGTCTTGATTGAAGCTCTGATCAAAGCCCAATCACTAGGTGTTTTAGTAGTGTGAGATATATATACTGTAAATACCATCGAGTTGCTCTGATGAATAGCCCTATCACTTGGTGGTTCAGCAGAGAGAGACATTATGGAGTAACGTACCCATCACCTGCTGAACCAACATATTGTGCTGTAGGACACTTATTTACCTTTACCATTTTAATTCTCAATGATAAATGTGACCAACTTCAATTTACTGCAGATACAGTATTTCAGTATTAAACCAAGATTAAATCAGCCATGAGGAAGAAAATAAATTATATCACAATTAAGCTTTACATCTGCCACATCCTCATGTATACAAACATGCTAATAAATTCTGATATAATAAATGTAAGATTTATAAGTACAAGAATAGTATTATGGATTAAACACCTGACCTTTAAAGTTTAACATGTGAGTAAAGGGTGGATGTGGGCACGAGAGAAGCAAATAACTGGATGATAACGTAAAATTCTTATAATTTTCAAGATCAATAATTAATCTCTCCTTGAGATCTGAGAGCACAAATTCTTTCTTTACGGGTTTAGTAGTCTTGGTGTCCTTGGGTTCAATAATCATGCGAGGTGAACCCGAACTTGTGCTGTATTTAGAGCTGGATACACTGGGCGTGATACTGGCTGCTTCCATACCAGATGTGTTACCACCTAGTCCCCTTTCAGCAGTCTCACTCAGAGATGAAAACCTTGGCCCACCATCCTTCTTCACTACTCTTGGGCTTCCATCGCTTTCAATTATTATTTCTCTCTGGGTCGTATCAGTTTGTTTTATATCACTTTGCCCACCACCTAGACTTAAACTTGCTTCAGATCCCTCATCATCTCTCTCATTACCCTCAGATTCAAATATACTATCTAAAGAACTTTCTGCATTTACTTCCTTGTTTTCTTGGAGTGTATCATCTGAATAGTCTAACATTTTGCTGGGAGTTAGATCATGCCCTGTTCTGGTCTCAATGCTTTCTGAACCTACATTTACTTTCTCAACATTATCAGGTTCAGATACCACAACCTGTTGGATATCTTTGACTCTAATAACATCATTAAGAGGTTGAGTAATTGTTAAAACATTTTCATTTTCCTTGACTGTATTAATAATATCCTCACTAGAATCCTCCTTCCACACTGCTTCTTTATCGAGTTCATCTTGTGCTGGGGGTTTATTCTGGGTCTCCTCACACTCTTCTACAATTTTTGCAGGTTCTTCTTTATTCATTTTGTTTCCTTTGTGTTCCAGCCAGGGTGCTGTAGGATCCAGTATAAGGGCTACCTGGTCACTAACGGACAGAGACCAATCATCCTCTTTTGTATGGCAGCACGCTAAGGCTCCCGGGTCAACAGGATGAGCTTCTGCAAATGGTTAGTAATACATAAATTAGTTCAAGCAATTTTTATCTTATTATTACAGACATAAAGTGTACCTGTAGTATTGCCAAGGTAAGACGACACCTAATTATGACATCAACGTGAAACAGGAACAGGGTCCACTTAACCAACACCTGTAAACCCATAAGAGGAAGATCAAAGCCACATTATCCCTCCCTGAGAACTTGAATATATACTCTCTTGCATCACAATATCTTCAAGAAAAACACTCGGCAAACACCTTTCTACGGCTTATTTTATTTTTAATATTCAACATCCTCGACCAGAATCCATTATCTGAACACATCAAAAGATAAGCAGACAGTGTTATAGTATACAATCCACTGTGTGTAGGTATATACTGATCTACATTGTGATATAAACTCAACAAACTTTACCTGAGTTGTACACATATCCACCAGCTTCAATGATACACTCCCTGCTGCCAACTTTGTGGATTTTCCCCGTCCCCCCGTTGTTATGCATCCAGTTCTCCGAGTCAAACAGCAGGAACAGGTACTTGGTGGTCTCTGCCAGGAAGAAACTTTCCATCCTGTTCTCTATGGTGTGATCATTTACGTTTTTTACCTGAAAAAGTAAAACGTTTTTATACAAGATGTAAGATAAGTCACGAGCTCCACATCTCAGTTAGTTCACCTCACGAGCTAACGGCCACAGGTTTATTTCTGACAAGAGAAGAGGTCGGGTTTCCCTCCTTGTATGCAAAGATCTTGTGCAGTCAACAATGTGTTAATATTATCAGTGGTACAACCTTCAGCAGAGTTGTATCATGTCCAGCCAAATTGCATCCTAGAGGAAAAGACTTGACTGTATGTATGAGGAAGAAACTATGAATCAGAAAACAGGCTAAAATTATGTGTATTTTGTTGTATTTCAGTGAACTGTCTTAAAAAAAACTGTTGTTGCCACCTAACCCATACATTTATTAAGTTCAAGTACAGTACAGTAATATAAAAACACATCCTTACACTAGCATAACCACAGTCTGTCTTAGCTGTGTGCTGTATGCTGGCCAGAATATCAGCACCCATCTCCAAAATTCTGTCATCCTTGGTAGCTTGGTACAGATACATCAGAGACTCTACCAGCTCTGGCCGCAGTGGGTAGCCTTGACGGTTAACTGGAGCTTCAGCCTGTAGGTCAAATTCAGACAAAATGAAAATTGTTGGGTATCAGGTTGATAAGTACAGTACAGTATCTACTAAGTGATTCTACATAGCAGCCATCTTACTATTTTTTACTTGTGAATTTATGATTCTCCACAATTATAATTTTGTGTAAAATTTAAGATGGGAGGATATCACTGAATTAAGCAGAAAGGTCTGCAATCTCATATGTGCTAGTTACATGCCCCTCTTCCATCCCAACACACTGAGACGGGGTACGCCAGTCGAGTCTAACCTCTGCATACGTCATTGATGTGTGAAATCTAAACCTTACAGTATGTTGAAACTTTTAGTAACTTTTTGTGCTGAAATACTGCACATTATATAGGCTGATTCTGGGAGTGATGGGGGCTGCCCACCACCCCTCATTATCAGCCTCCTGCCCTACCAACAACCCTTCACTCCTCACCTTGTCTCTTGCACAGAATAAGGAATGGGTATTAGATCAAAGATTAAGATGTTTAATGGCACTAGAGGGAGACAGGGAAAAGGACATGGGATATGTTTGTTTTTCATTATCATTAATATCCTAAATTCTCATATTAATTTATTTATAATGAAAATACAGAAAATCTAATGAATTTCTCACCTGTGGGATACTGTAGAACTCAGGTGTAAATCCAAACTGCTTCCACACCTGATGATAATTAAACACAATTCTCTGTGCTGAGTTAATATCACCTGCAAGTTTATTATAAAATTAGGTAACTTAGTTTTCTAAAAGTTATTTAAAAAGAAGTTTAAATAATTAGGAAAGTTTCAAGACCTAACATAAATAATACTTTATCATTAACTCAACACCATAACAAATGTCTCTCATAATGCAATTCATAATCCTTTCATCAATGCTTTTGAATTATCATATTTTTAATAATTGTAACTTTTTATGGATACAAAGTAGCTAAAATCCGTCCCACATTAAACATAAAAGCTGGTTGTATAGGCATGGAAGTCTTCATCTGTAATGTAGTTAATGAACTTAACCAAAAATACCAGTTCATGGAAAACAAATCCACCCCATCAAACTCTCTTGATAATAGGAAATATGTTAGTAAGAAAGAGAGAGACTGTATCAGCAACATAAGTATTAATGTAAACATCAATTTGAGTGGACACAAACATACCCATGAGAGTCAGGACCCCTGGCCAATAGGCTTCAAGGGACTGAAACACTGCCATAGTTACATATCCCTTGGTCATTGTGGCCCACAAGTACCAGTCTTCATGGCGGAGATATTTATCAATCGCTGGTCTGGCTTCATTGAAGATAGCCATTAATTCTGGCCTCTGTAGCAGAGCTGCTCCTTTAACGAGATACTCAAAATAGGAATCAATGCCTGCGCCTGTAAAATAAAAGACATAAACTGTACTGGAATATTTCTGTTTAATATTTGTCTATTTACAGTTAATATTTCACCTTAGTGTTGCCCGATGTGAGTGGAGGGAGAGTAACTGAGGCATTTGATGAAGGCTCAGTTACAATATAGGAACTCTCTCCTTTATAACCTTATGGCTGATTTAGTCAACTCTCATACCCTGAAGGCATTACTGTACATGTAAGGAGGAAGGTGGCAAAAATAACCTGTAAATATTAATGGAACTATGCATGCCACAAGGGAAGTAGCTCTCATAAAACAACAGAAGTAAGGAACTACCCTCCACTCTTCCCAACACCAGTCAATCCTATAACACAGTTTACTTCTTGAAGACTTACAACTGTGCTGGGATGCCACTGAAGACACTGTGCCCCCTGAGGTCAAGGAGTGGAACCCAATTGAGTGGGTTTGATTCCGTTTACTGACATGTTGGAGATATTAACCATAACCACCTCACACTTAACCTATAACTTATGATCAAAGACTGTTGACCAATATACTGTAAGGTGAAGATATTATTGAACTGACATCATCAGACAAAGTAAATGATAAGAGCCAATCTTAAAGAATACAGGTTCTTGGAATGGGGTAAAGGTACTGTACTGCACTCTCCACTTTTGGAATATTTACAATTTTGATTGGCCTTCCTCCTAAGTAGTCTGATAGTGTGAGGTTTAGTGTACAGTACAGTACAATATTCAGCTCCATCAGGTAATAAACAAAATCTCTAGATTCAATTGTCATTCCTTTATCTGAATTTTCTGAACAAGTGGTAATAAAACTGCAGAACATCATATACTGTACTTCAACAACCTACCTATCCCAGAATCCTGAGCAGCCCATCTTCCTGTTAACACATCAATATGGTTACCTACGAGGTTGATTGAAGAACGATGATCCCAAATAGCATGCAAAGCACGCATGGCCACCTAAAAGTCAAAACATTCAATTATTGAGGCAACTCTGGGTGCTAATTTCCAGGCTAACCTTGCATAGACTACAGGTATTATTATACTGTACAGTATAGTAGAATGTCAAGATGAGCTAATACAGCATCTCCTTACAGTCTTTAACTATGAATACTAACTTACCAGGTAGTGTAGTGTTATTTACTGTACAAATATATGGATTTACAAAATAAATACATTATGATTGTCATAAAATACATTGCATTACATTTTCTTTCTCTTTTGGCTAAATTGTAAATACATTTCCTTTCAACAAAGTGGATTACCTCTTCATAGACTGGATCACCAGTGAGCCTGGACAGTGTACCAAACTCTATAATATAAGTGCCCACACCAGCCGTACAGGTTACTGGCGTCTCCCCTTCTGGCACACCGTCTTTGAAGTTCACCGTACCATATGGCATTCCTGTTAACAGTAATACAACACTTCACTGTACAGTACTGAACCTCGAAATAAAGACATTAATTCATAAACGTGCCAACCAGATCAACTGAAAAGACTTGTGAAGGAGTTGTATGTAAGTAGTGAGTTTATCCTATTCTTCCACTTCCTTCTTGACCTTCATGTCTCCCTCTCTCTTCCATAATCTATTATTGAATTAATCACTCGTTTTATCTCATTTTCATTCCCAAACCTTCTTATTCATTCTGTCCACAGAGGTTAAGACACACATACATCCAAGAAGAACTTGTCTGACCTGTCGGTGTATCAAATGCTGGCAGGAGTCTGTCAGCTACATCCTTTGACATCCTCAGAAGTGGTCCAGCACAAGGCCACCCATCCTCCACAACAATGCCCATTCTGAATTGTAAGTCATAATTATTTATTCTTTATATCACTGTAAGTCTTCAGACCACAAAGTCCACCTAATTATTAAGGAACCATTCAGTAAAATCATCATACAAGTTTGTAAATGGTTTAGTATATAGACAATACAGGTACAGTATACAGTTCAACATGTACAGTATATAGACAATGCAGGTATAGTGTGTGCATAGACTGTGAAGGCATACAATTTTCAAGGTACCTAGACAGTACAGGTATACAACAACAGTATATAATTCTACCAAAAATAAGCAAAAAGCCAACAGATGCTAAATAAAACCTTCTAACTTGGTTTATCTGTTAGGTGGTATAAAAAAAAAAGAGTGACAAGAACTCTTTTTTGATACCGTACACTAATTAGAGAGGTTAGCCTTGGGCAGACACCAGACTATAAACACATTCATCATCTACTGTACTTACTTTTTACTCATGAGATGTCCACTTAAAAGTCCACCGAGTATTCTTATGTTTGTTTCAAATACAGAAACATTTATATCAACATCAAATTTCACCCTGTCTGTGATCAGCTTCACCACTCGCTGGAATTCAGTTTTGTTTCCCATTATAGCGAGAGTGTCTAGGGCGTCGACCAGCGTCAAGGAGTAACTAGGGGAAGGTCAGAACACAACATTAATGTAGGTATTTATGTACAACTATTATATACACTGCACTCTCAGAAATATAACAAATACTGTATACATAAACATGTCAACATTAGCTTCTTAAAATTTGATCAAATTCTTTATTTACTTTTTATGGACATTTTTGTCTTCCTTTGTCAAAAATTCATTTCTTATAAGACTCCAGAAACTGCAGGATCAACATGAGGGACTACTGCACTGCTCTCTACACTACAGTACTTGGGAAGACTCAATAGATCATTAATGTCAATGCTGGAAATCATATCCAAATTAAAAGAGACAATAGATTTTGTCATCACAGTAGAGGTGACCGTGCTGCAGCTGGGAGACAGTACTAATTAATGGTTTAGTCCCAGGTGCTTGTGTCAAGGTGATACAGAACACAAGTCACCCTTCACTATTTTTAGGACCAGCCACCATCATATTGTAATTCAAACAGCCGCCCATAACACCAGCTTCTTTATCCTTTCCTCTACTTAATTTGTTGCTTTCTAGTGTAGAACTTTTACTAGACATAAGTAGTAATATGCTCTCACCTGCCCCAGGTGTCATGACCATCACATGATAGAGGCCGTAACTCATCGTAGGGATAAGCATACTTCATGTAGCCCCCATAGGCATGGTAAAACATCCCACGAACTTCTTCCCTGAAAAAAGGTAAAATTTCTGAGATACAAGTACAGCATTTACATAATTTTCACTGATGAATATATCACATAATGGATACAGTACAGTGCACTCATGACTACAGTTTCTGAAATGCTTGAGACATGACCCATTCCAGATACATTACTGTACAGCACTGTGGTCACATTTTCAGCCAGCACAGAGCAAAAGCAGAGGATGCAAAGGGAGTGTGAACATAATTTGTAGGAAGAAAAATAAGCAATTCCTACACTTGATTTGCTGTTTTCTCAGGATAAGAAAGGGGATCCTGTTGGGAGCCGGGGTTTTGGGTGGGGGAGAGAAACAAGCGTTTTCCGAAAAAAATCTCAGCTAAGTGAATACAAAACTCACCGAAAAACACTAGAAAAGCATATAAACCTAACCTAACATGGCCTAACCTAACATGGCCTAACATAACATGGCCTAACCTAACATGACCTAACATAACATGGCCTAACCTAACATGACCTAACATAACATGGCCTAACCTAACATGACCTAACACGACTTTACTCTCACGGTGTTTTTAAGTAACGTGTACAGGAACGCATGACGATTTATGAAGGGATGATTAATGGAATAAAATAGAGAAAGATTTGGCATGTGCTATTTCCGTTATTATACGTTCACAGCGGTAATGTAATAAAAGAAAATTATCTTAAAATTAGACGTCTTTTTCGAATATGATAATAGATTTGGGGTAGGAATGTTATGTGAACTTCTATAAAAAAATACTATCAAATTGTATAGAAATTTGTAAAAAAAAAAAAAAAAAAATCAAGGAGGGAATTTAATACTGTACTCAATTGGTTCAAGAAAGGTACAATTTTATCCCCAAATATTATCTAGGGTTAGTGCGTCATGACAGCGTTACAAGACTAAACCAATTATGACAGTTCATGACTTACAGTATTGGACGACAGTAATCACACTAACTCAGGTTGATATGGCCCCTCCCTGTCATATATACCGTTTTACCTTAACTTTATTCTGTCTCGATCTGTCATTCCACTTGAAAATGATATAATAAAGCATAGTTGTATGTATGCTATAAATGAGCACACGGAATGTTGTCTCTTCATCATCTTCCTGTCTGTTGTTGTGACGTCTGACAATTGGTTCTTACATACGACTCACGTACACAGTCTATCTACTGCTTATTTTGATGTTTAAGGTATACATATATTAAATTTTGTTACAAAGTACATAAATTAGTTCTTTTTTATGTATAACTTAATATATTTTCATTATATGTTGTCAAATATTTAGTTATTTCTTTGCAAATATTCTATATTGTAACTCGGAAATAAATAGCTTGCCATGTAAACAAATGTCATTCAAGTTTATAGAAAACAAAGATGCTCTTTTATAGTAATAAGCATAATTTTTTATTATAATTGAATAATATACCTCTAATTTTTATAAGTACACTGTGAAGTATTTATTATATCATATACCGTATAGATGTTTTTTTTTTTTAATTCGTGACGAGTCAAACGTACATGTACATATGGTCTGCGATGATTGGTTAACACCCAACCAATAGTACGTCAGCCTGATGTATGATTACTTCGTCTAACTCTGAGGGAATTTATCACATTGTATAACTCAGCCATCAATTACAAGATACGCATCCGGAAATTAATGTGCTGCTGTTTAAATGTCCTATTTAACCTTGTCAGCACGCATCCTTATTATCTTTTTTGTATATGTTTATTTATTGTTGTCTGTTGGTGAATAAATTTATATATATATACAGTATATGGAAAGTAAAGGGAGTCTTTGGGTGAAGGTTCGGGGAGTTCACGCCTTTAGGTTAGGTTACCACACTGCCCTGTCTTTCTTTCCTCCCACAGAAAAAAAGGCTCATCTGCATATTTTTAAGTGCATTTGTATTTTGAGAGAGAGAAAGAGAGGGAGAGGGGCCATTTATTAGATAGACAGAAATGGCACAGAAGCAACATAAAATACCCTCAAAAGCAACAGAGATGACCCACAAGCAACCTAATCTAACACAATAGAATCTAACTTAACCTACTATAACCTAACCTACTCTAACCAAGCTTAACCTAACCCAACCTAATCTAACATCACCAAACCCAAGCTAACTTAAATAAAGCCCTAGATAGCGTAAGGATGGTCAATCTTTAAAGTGAAATAAATTGGGTGTCTAATCTCCAGGTGAGACTATCATTATAACCCACTGTATAATAATAATAATAATTCATGGCATCATTTCAAAGGCTTAGTGACTGTATTAAACATTCTCTCTCTCTCTCCCTGTAATGGTTTATGTAAATTGTGAAGTATGAAAGGAAAAAAATGCCATATGCGTCTCTTCACTTGTTATTACGCTATTACGTCCGGTAAATAACAAATAATGCGACTATTCGTCTCTTTTATGTCAACAAACTGTATTGGACGTGATGTTGTTTAGATGAAACGCTCGTTGGGGGGTTATTGTGCTCTGTGGGAGGGTGTGGGGGGGTGTAGGGGGATGGTGGGGTGAAGAGGACTGTTGACGTTATAATATTTTACTACGCTTCAACAACTATTTTTTTTTTAAGCGAGTAACAAGGTTGGTAATTACACAGGTGCATCAACAATTAAAAGTTAGGAGAGTTAGAAGTCACTGTTGGTGGGGTGGAGACGAGGGGTGAGGGAGGAGACTAGGGGTGAGGGAGATGAGGGGTGAGGGAGAAGACGAGGGTAGTGGAGGAGGAAGGATTTTGGGGGGGCAGCCTCTCCTCCCTCACATTACGTCACTATGGCAACTCTCTTCTCTTCGTTCATATAAATATTTCCCCCAATTATAGATGATGACTCAATTAACTGTCTATCTTCCTGTAACAACAACAACACTATCATGGCGTAAGGGAGAACTAACAGCCGTCGTCTTTTCTTATCTCTTGGGACCCACTTATGGCCGAGTTTAGTTTATTAATTAGTTAAATTTTCTCTTTAATACACACAGAAAGCCTAGTATGGGTATTGCTCTCTCTCTCTCTCTCTCTCTCTCTCTCTCTCTCTCTCTCTCTCTCTCTCGAATCCGTCCTTGGCCTTCACGTCTGAACGGGGTGACGTCACAACTCAGTACTCACGACTTCATGACTGTTGACGTCACCTATCTTTGAAGGATTGACGTCACTATCTCAGTGGATGACACCATATTTTCCTGGTGGGTGACGTCACTTCGTTGAGGTATGACGTCATCGTTTCCTAGTGATACGATGTTGCATTGGTGGATGACGTCACACTAACAAACACTACAATACACACACCCACACGCACACAGGGACGCATCTGGTAGCCTCTTCTCACAGAAACCTATGAAGTACAAATCACACACACACACACACACACACACACACACACAACTTCCCCCTTCCACATCCCCATCCCTCTCCCTCTCCCCTATCCCCCTACTTCCCCTTCCCTTCCTCAATGAGTCAAAAGTCCTTTACCTCTTATAATAGTACTAATGTCTCCTGGCTGTATTCTGTACTAGTATAGTCACCCCTTGAGTACGATAACCCACCCTGTACAGTGCCATCGTATTCAAGGAAGAAAATCATTGTACACAGTTAAGACGTCGTACTCAAGGTGGTGGTGGGAGGGCTGGGCAGGTGGTGGTAGTAGGAGGTCTGGGTAGGTGGTGGTAGTGGTAGGCAGGGCTGGGTAGGTGGCAGGTGGTGGTAGTAGGAGGTCTGGGTAGGTGGTGGTAGTGGTAGGCAGGGCTGGGTAGGTGGTGGTAGTGGGAGGGCTGGTGTTGGCAGGGCAGGTGGTGTTGGCAGTGCTGGTGGTAACAGGGCAGGGCAGGTGGTGGGAGGATCACTACCCCGGAAGTCACCTGTATTGTACGAGCAGGTAGGTGACGAGGGTCGCTGGCCACCACAGCTTGAGGTTTACTGTTACCTGTCGACCAGCTGTTGTCCTGGTGTGTGTGTGTGTGTGTGTGTTAGTCTGTGAATGACTTTAACTGTAGCTATTATTGTTTATTTTTTCAGATATTTGTTAGTTTTGTTTACATCTGTGTGAGAAGAATGTTTGTTTACATATATGTTGGAGTGTATCTCTTGCCTCAGCTTTATCGTCTTGTTTCTGCTTCTCTTAATACATCTCCTCTTCCCTTACGCTTCACCGCTATACCGTGTTTAATTTATTGTTTTTTTTTTACGTTGAAGACACACATACTCTATTAACACCTCCAATAGCTTCTTTTAAACCCCAGATATTATTTTGCTCTTTTTTCCTCCGTAATATAACACTGTAAACTTGTGTTGTCTATATACATGCTGAAGCAATTGTAGATTTATTCAACGTGTTTACTGAATGAAAGCTATCTATCTCTATCTAATCTAACATGAAGACTCCGGCGTGAGTAAACATAACGTCTTGTCTATTGGTCAAGTTCACAATCTTTTCGTCTACGTCACCATTTTCTTCCATTTCTTTCCATTCGCTTTAAAATCCACAGTTATTGTTTGGTTCATTTCAGTCATTGTGTGTCAGTTGGTCTTGTAATTGTTGGTGCTACAATAGTGTGTCGTCTCGTGTACACAATGTAATTCGGATGGAAGAAAGAGACTAAGCTTGAATTTATTTTTACGTCAAATTTGATTCTTTTGTTGTATATGCCAAGCTTGATTTGTTGTATATACGCCAAGCTCGACTCGTTGCACGCTTAGCTTATTATCAGTATCTCGTAAGTTCTTCTCGTCAAATACCTAACCATCACTTACTCCACTGACCAGACACGGGTCATAGCCCAGCCAGTCTCAGATACACACACACACGCGCCTCTAATCTTTTTAATAGTATGTAATAAACTTTCCCATCTGTGTACAATAATTGTCCTTGGTATTAAACTATAGATTCTCGACTACCACATGTAATTACCTTCTGTATGTTAACTGAAGGAGTTTTCTTTTATCCGTGTAATTGGATTAAATTTATTAAATTCATCATAAGTCAGATATATTCGCTGGTGCTGTTATCCATCCTTCTTATCCTCTTCCCTGGTGGTGTCGGGTGCTTCTTTGTGTAATTTTATTTAGACATCACTCATAACCTAATAATCATCTAGTGTAGTACTGGCTGTAGTTAATAAGGTTTCAGTATCTACATCTATTATGGCTTCTCCGTCCAAAACAAGTGGGAGTTATACCAATATATTAAAATACTGTAACAGCTTCTAGTATAGAAGGTTGGATCATACTTTACTGGTAATACCTCAGACAATTGTTATTTTCACTCAAACATGTTAAGAATTCAGCCAGTTGAACGCGTAAATGAAGTCACTCAAACTGAAGTATTTTGATATAAATAACTACGACGAAGAACAGCAAAGTAACTACAATGATGATAGAGACTCTGTTTACCGTTTATTTTTACGTTTACAGCATTTACGCAGGGAGTGGTAGGGACAGGTGTGAGGTTACACACAAACAAATAACTGTACACACTCACATTAGTAACGAGTTCACGGCTTATATGTAATGTTGATGTGTAAATTCCAGAGAGATTTGTGTGGACCCCTGTACTGTTAAGTTTACCAAGACGCCTAGCCGCTCCTCGACCTCAGGGCTTCACGCTACTTACTGGAATTCGTCTTAACCTTCCCGAGAGAGAAGCAGCACCCAGATGCCCGGCCGGAAACAGCTTACACAAGTAGGAGCTTTCAATGTGTTGGTACCAAGTCAAGGGCGGGGTCACTGAGTTTAGAAAGTGGGCGTGTCGGTGGGTAGTGGTACGAAGAACCTTATTTATCACATGAATGGTTCCTCATACTTGACCAGCCCCACTCTGTGATGATGCCGGATATCCTGCGTTGTTTCCTGACAGGAGGCGGGTGGGTGTGAGCAATTTTCATCGTCAGGAGGTGTAGTAAGTGTCCCACCCCGCGGCCCACCAGGCGGCTGTCGACCTCTCAGTCGTGTGCGAGTCAAGTTAGCCAACACAACCGACCTACTTATCAAATTCCAGACTCCAACTCTTTATTTTAAGTAAAATATGTTTTTAATGACAGCCTATACGTTATAATAAGATATTAATATACAATATATAGATTTTGAGTGGATTTGATTCTTGAGAGGGAAGTGAATTTG